GATCAGGAGCTGGCGGCATTAAGGCTCCAGCCCTGGGGAGGGGAGGAGCTGGATATTGCAGAGGTCCCAGCATCTGGGCCTGGGCAGGGATCTCATTGGACAAATGCAGGAAGAAGGTAAGGCTGGGTCTCAGAATGAAGACAGGCTCAAGAGGCAGGGCCAATGGACTTGTGCAGAGGCCTGTGCCATTGGGTCACAGTCACCCCTAGTGACCTAGGGATGGCTCCACCATGGTTCCAGCTGGGCCTGCAGCACCCAAGAACCACCAGACCCCATCTGAGAGGACATCACCCTTTCACAAGCTGTTTTAGTCCTTAGGAAGACTAAGTTGAGAAAAGGGCCTAGGGATCCCCCAGGGACTCGTAACTATCAATTCCAGAAGCTAAATTTTTGCCAAGGGAAGAACAAAACTTGATAGTTTCTATTTGTCCTAATGGAGACATTGACTAACTCATTCCTCTATTTTTTTTTTTTAAAGACAAACAAGCTTAATTCATTTACTTTCTTCACTTGTTCTGAGTTGTTCCTTGCCAAAGAGGGATCTGAGGGCCATTGCTCACTTAGTGGATGCCACCCGCGTGCATCAAGGGTTTAGAGCTAGAAGAGACCCACACTCTTCTTCATGCATTTGACTGATGAGGAAATGGAGGCCCAGAAGGGTTACAGCAGTCTTCTGAGGTCTATAGAGAAAGATAGATAGATAGATAGATAGATAGATAGATAGATAGATAGATAGATAGATAGATAGGTAGATAGGTAGATAGGTAGATAGGTAGATAGATAGATAGATAGATAGACAGATAGACAGATAGATAGATAGATCAGAGCCCGGGCTGCTATGCCCTCCCCCCACTTCCAGCATTCCCTTTCCTCTGTATACTCCCCTCAATCTGGGCTTGCCATGGTAACTAAGCCTCCTCCAGTGTGGGAAGCAGTTACCTAGCAACTCCCCATAACCAGGTCATAGCCGGGGAGTGAGACACCACGTGCTGCTGCCTGCCCTGGGGAATTCAGATGTGTGCAAATGGGACTGCCACAAAGCACCCTCCCTAGAGCCCTTCCTGGGCATGTCTGGGTAGGTGGGTGAGTAGGGCGTCTCATGCCAGGGTCAGCGAGTTGCTGGGACAACAGCACAGCTCTGCTTTGCTGGGAACTCCATCCCCACAGCAGCCACAGGGTCTGCCATCTATGC